GCGAGAGCCCGCGGGCGGAAGCCCCGCCCCGGCAGTCCCCGCCCGCCGCCGGGAAGGGGACCTCACGCTCTGCTCTTGTGCCACAGAGGACGGCCGCGGCCTGGAAGGAGCGCTCTCGGAGCTGACCGCCGAGACAGACGTGCCCGTGGTGTTTGTGAGGCAGAGAAAGATAGGCGGCCATGGTCCGACCTTGAAGGTAGGCGACAGTGACGTGTCTTTTACCCGCCAGCACCGGGAGCGGGCGCCGCGAGCCCATTGTGGTCTCGGCCTTACTTAAAACCCGCAAGGTTGCGGACGGACCCCCGAAGGACGCACAGCCTTGGAAACGACCAGAAACACTCCAGGGCTGGCTGCATGTTATCGAAACGGATCAGACGATGGGTGACTGTCAGCACTGGGGAAGTGTGATGAGAAACTCGTAACTACTGTATTTTCATCTTTTAAAATCACTTTAAAAGTGCCCCTTTTCTCCTATTTTTCCTTCTCTTCCCCTCTCAGTTAATGTAAACAACTAAAACTTTTTCGAGCACCAACTTAGCCTGCTAAATGTGAATTGTTTAGGGAAGTACTGAGAGATCAGGAAATGCTTATCTCGGCTAAGTGCCCCTATCGGCTTTCTCTTTGCTTCTTTGAGGAGTGGGGGACCAGAAACTCCAGACTCCAAGGACAGCAGTCGATCAGCCCGTCAGGTGAATTGGGTTCCACTCAGGTGTCTGTTTATACTTGAGTGGGGGGAAAGCAAGAACTGAAGTCTTCCCTGTGACCGGCGTACAGTGTGATGGAAATCCTTAGGCTCTACCGAGGGATGGATAGGTCCTAACCTACCCCGTTGAAAGAATGCTTAGGTGCAGCTCGGCAGCCCGGATGATGGTCCACAGTATGTGTGTCGGTTACTAGGTTGGCAAGCCTTCTGTAATCCCATCACCTTGCTATGTCTGTTTGAATTTCTGCAAATTATCTTTTTACCTTTATCCATTGTACCTATGTAACATGTAAGGAATGCAACTCATACTTGAACGTTTCCTTCTTAGAAGTAAACAGAGGCCTGCGTTAAATGTGAAGTGATTTAGTTCAAGAGGTAGAGGCAGAAAGATCATGGGTTCGAAGCCAGCTAGGTAACATAATGAGACCTGTGTCTGGAAAGACACATGATGTGTGTGTGTGTGTTTAGATGTGTGCACCCTTAGGATATTAACAATGTTCATTTTGTTTACTCCCTTCTCTTGCACCTGAAAGAACCCTGCTTACCCATTTGAAGAATAGGTGTAGGAGATGGAGCTAGATTACAAAGACAAGTACCAAATGAAGAAATATAATTAAGATTAAAAAAATTTTCCGTGTTAAGTTGGTTGTTACTCAGATCTTTAGTTTGCAAGTAAAACGAGACAAGGGTGTATTAATATTCCTTCTTGTCTGATTACTCTGTTCTCTCTGCCTGTGTTATAAATTTACACAAGTCATATGAGTATTTGATCTTTATGTAATTCTACGTATGCTCTTATTTTAATGTCAATGGGAGTAAAAAGAATCACTGTTTTTATAGGCTTTGGAACTCACTTTTATAGATATGATCTGATGTCTTTAATAATTCCATATGATCATGATTAATTTTAGACATTTAGTGAGGTACTGTGCATAATGAAAAGCACACTCTAAAGACCTAATTTAAAAAATCATTTAGTACACCTCTTAAGTAAACTTGCCATTCTACAATACTTTGTATCTTTTTCTTTTCTGTCCTTTTCTTTTGGTCAGAGGGTATATATACACTCCAGGAAAAGAGGAGAAAGCACCCTCTAATAGGGCATGGTCACACTGCAATCCCTTCTCTATTTCTCCTTCCTGTTGGGATTTGGAATACATAAAAACATGTGCCTGGCATGGTTTTCAAGCTGCTGAGGATGGGATTTAAACCTAGGTTGGCCATGTAGGATCCTGTTCTCTTAATCACTAGGCTACAGAGGCAATCCATTCATTTTTCTTGTTCAAAAAAAAAAAAAAAATGACTCAAGGTAAGGACTCCTGGTTTGAAAGATTTGTGAATTTTTAGCTAATTGACCGTATTTGTAGCTTAATTCTGAATTTTAGAAATCTTTAGAAACATAGGGTTTGAGCAGAGAAAGGCATTTATTTAGTGTAAAATCAACTGCTTAGAGTTAGTATTAAAGTCCTAAATTCCCCATTTTAAGGTGTGTTTAAAAAAAAGGTTAAGGTTGTGGGACCAGCAGTTAGTGTAATGGTTATGTCGCTGGACTCCCACGTAGTCAACCGCGGTTTGCATCCCGGATCCGGTGGCTTAAGAGTCACGCCGGGCGCGTGTGCGTGCGTGCCTAAGATCCCGAGAGGAGAAGGGAGGAGAAGGGATTGCGGTGCGGCTAACCCCCCCCCCGGGGGGGTGTGATTTCTCGCTGTCTGTCTGTCTGTCTGTCTGGCGAGCACACGCACCCTATAGAAAAAACCTCTCCCCAAAAAAAAAAAAAAAGGTTAAGGTTGAGACCAAGAGTTGGCGTAATGTCTATGTCGCTGGACTCCCATGTAGTCGACCACTGTTCAAGTCCTGGACCCTGTGACTTAAACTCAAGTCAGGCACATGTGTGTGTGTGTGTGCCCAAGATCCTGAGAGGAGAACAGAGAAGGGATTACAGTGTGGCCATTCCCCCTCCACCACCAGGGGGTGATTTCTCGCTTTCTGTCTCTGTCTCTTTCTGTCTTTCTGGTGAGTGCATGTGCCCTATAGCAAAAACCTCTCAAAAAAAAAAAAAAGTTAACGAACATTTCATGATTTAGTTTGCAACATAAATAATCATCAATAATGGAGAGGGAACTCTAAAAGTCTGCTTTTCCTTGCTCCTTAATACTGTTTCTTCCTTTCCCCCTCTGCCATAATAAACAATAACAGCAGCAAAACCTACTTTCAAAGAGAGTGTTCAAAGGAAAGGTTTTGTTGAAACTTTTGAGCCTAGTTCACTGCATGAAGATAAAGAGTTTTCAGAAGTATAAATGACCTACACGGAGTACCCTGGTGTGCCTGTTTAACACGTGTGCCCAGGCTCTACCTGAATTCTGAAACAGACCTCTGCAAGGGACTAGGAATCCGCCTTGAATTTGGGTATGTGAGGCCCAGAGTTTAGAGGTTCAAGGAGCTGGATCCATGTGGCCAACTATGGTTTGAATCCTGGCTTTGGTAGCTTGAAAAACATACCAGGCACAGCACATGCATGCCCCAAATCCCAACAAGATTGAGAGATGGAGAAGCAATTGTGGCTTGATGGTGGCCCATTGAGGGCTGCCTTCTCCCTTCTCTCTCTTTTTTTTTAAAAAGAATTATTTATTTATTTATTTATTTCCATTTGTTTTGTTTGTTTGTTTGTTTGTTTTCTTTATTTGACAACAGAGAGAGAGAGAGAGAGAAAGGGAAAGTGAGAAAGCAAGCCACCAGGTCTGGGACTTGAACCATGGTCGGCCATGTGGGAATCCAGCGCCCCCTATCCACCACACCACCTGCTGGCCCCTCTCCCTTCTCTCTCTGGTGAGGGTACACTCCCTCTGACAAGAAGAAAAAGAAAATGGCAAATGGCAGCTTAACAAAGGAGTAACACTTTATTACTGAGTAGAAGAATAGGGAACTGCTATCTGTGGTCAGGACTTACATGTCCAATGTAAAATTGGGCCTAGGGACATATTTAATTTTAAGAACTCTCAATAGAGTTCCTACTACACAGAAACATCTGGCTTTCACAAACATCTCAGTTTAAAAAAAAATTTAATTATTTAATTTTATTTGTTATTATTAATTTTAACTTGACCAGAGAGAGACAAAGAAAAGGAGAATGAGGAAACAAGCTGTCAGGTCTGGGACTTGAACCATGGCCAGTCATATGGGAGTCCAGCACCTTAACTACCACACCACCTGCTGGTCCCAACATCTTTTTTATATATATATATATCTCCTGGTATCTGCAGTTGCTTTCCATTCCTTTATTTTTTTCTCCCACATTTTATTGGTTAACAAAATCTCTTAATTGATCTAACTACTTTCTTCCCCCCACCCCCCTCCCCAGAGGTTTTTGCTATAGGGCGTGTGTGCTCGCCAGAAAGACAGAGAGAAACAGAGAGACATAAAGCGAAAAATCACCCCCCATGGGGGTTGGCCACACCACAACTCCTCTCCATTCTCTTCATGAGATCTTGGAGACGTATGCATACGTGCCAGGTGTAAGTTTTAGCCACCAGGTCTGGGACTCGAACAGTGAGTGATCGACTACATGGGAGTCCAGCGACATAGCCATTATGCTAAGTGCTGGTCCCAGTGTAACTGCTTTCAATAGCAAATTCAGCTGATATATAAATATCTTTGAACAAATGTTTGACTTTAGGCATCAGACTGTGAGCAGGATGAATATACTATAAAATAGCACCTAGCTGAGGCTATCTAGCTTATTGTGGTCGTTAAATAGGTATTTTAAAATATGTTTCTCAATTTCAAGAAAGGCAGTTGTAGGTTTAATAAATCAAAAAATGTTAAGAGAACTTTGCTTAAGACTTAAGGCAGGAAGCAGGTTAGGATTCTGTTCAAATAGTAGTTACCTGGACCTGTCGGCAGTTCTAGAGAAGACAGAAATCCTTATCCCTGGACTACAAAGCACAGAAAAAGATCAGTATTGTTTTAGTTAAAAGCCATAAAATTCTATTTCATCAGCTCCATCTCATGTACTTAATCTAAGTTCTGTTGTGGTCCAAGCTTTCTGTTTAAATTCTGGAAGATAATATTCAACTTGACTTGTCCCTACCATTAAGCTGACTATTTTCTTAGATGTTTTTTAACTCTTATTTCTGTGTGTCTGACTTTAGTTTTCCTGATACAACACTCCCTTCAGAACTTCTCGGAGAACTGTTCTGGTGTTGGTAAATTCATTCAGGTTTTGTTTATCTGAGAATGTTCTTGCTTTCTCTTCCCATATGAAGGATAATCTTTTTTTTTTTTTTTTAAGAATTATTTATTCATTCATTTATTTTAATTTGACCAGAGAGAGACACAGAGAGAGAAAGAAAGTGAGAAAGCAAGCTGCCAGGTCTGGGACTTGAACCATGGGTCAGCCATGTGGGAGTGTCCAGCACCTTAACCACCATGCCACCTGCTGGTCCCCCCATAAGAAGGATAATCTTGTTGAGTGTAGTATTCTTGGTTGAAATTGT